AAGGCAAGGGAAATAAAAGCAAAAATGAACTAATGAGACTTCATCAAAATAAAAACCTTCTGCACAGCAAAGGAAACAGTCAACAAAACTAAAAAGCAACCCATGGAATAGGAGAAGACATTTGCAAATGACATAACAGATAAAGGGTTGGTATCCAAGATCTATAAAAAACTTCTCAAACTCAACACACAAAAAACAAATAATCCAGTCAATAAATGAGCAGAAGACATGAATAGACATTTCTCCAGAGAAGACATACAAATGGCCAACAGACACATGAAGAAATGCTCAACATCACTCGGCATCAGGGAAATCCAAATCAAAACCACAAGGAGATATCACCTCACACCAGTCAGAATGACTAAAATTAACAACTCAGGAAACAACAGATGTTGGCAAAGATGTGGAGAAAGGGGAGCCCTCTTACACTGTTGGTGGGTATGCAAGCTGGTACAACCACTCTGGAAAACAGTACAGAGGTTCCTCAAGTACTTAAAAATAGGGCTCCCTTATGACCCAGCAATTGCACTACTAGGTATTTACCCCAAAGATACAGATGTAGTGAAAAGAAGGACCACCTGCACCCCAAAGTTTATAGAAGCAATACCCACAATAGCCAAATTGTGGAAAGAGCTGAGATGTCAATTGACAGATGAATGGATAAAGAAGATGTGGTGTATAATATATAGAATGAAATATTACTCGGGCATCAGAAAGGATGAATACTTATGATGGGGATTGATCTGGTGGGTATTATGCTGGGTGAAATAAGTCAGTCAGAGAAAGGCAATTATCATATGGTTTCACTCATGTGGAATATAAGACACATCACAGAGGATCATACGGGAAGGGGGGGAAAACTGAATGGGAAGTCATCACAGAGGGAGAAAAATCATTAGAGAGTCTTAACTATAGGAAACAAACTGAGGGTTGCTGTGCGGAGGTAGGTAGGGTAACTGGGTGATGGGCATTAAGGAGGCAATGTGATGTGATGAGCACTGGGTGTTATACGCAACACATGAATTGTTGAACTCTATGTCTGAAACTAATGATGTACTATATGTTGGCTAATTGAATTTAAATAAAATATAAATAAAAAATTTTTTAAAAAGCTAATGAGAAGAGTGATATAATTTTTTTTACACTTTTATCTTTTTTTTACATTTTGTACACCTCTTCAATGCATGGCTTAAGAGGCCCCTGGATGACTCATTTGGTTAAGCGCCCAACTCTTGATATCAGCTCAGCTCCTGGGATTGAGCCCCACGTTGGGCTTTGTGTTCGGCAGAGAGTCTGCTTGAGATTCTCTCTCTCTCTCCCTCATGCGTGTGCTCTCTCTCTCTCTCCCTTTTCTCTGAAAAATAAATAAATCTTTAAAAAAATGTACGGCTTAATTGTGCAAGACTGTTGAATCACAGATCTGTACTTCTGAAACAAATAACGCAACATATTTTAAGAAAAAAGGAAAAGAAGAAGATAACAGGAGAGGAAGAAAAGGGGAGTATGTCAGAGGGGGAGACGAACCATGAGAGATGATGGACTCTGAAAAACAAACTGAGGGTTCTAGAGGGTAGGGGGGTGGGGGGATGGGTTAGCCTGGTGATGGGTATTGAGGAGGGCACGTTTTGCATGGTGCACTGGGTGTTATGAACAAACAATGAATCATGGAACACTGCATCAAAAACTAATGATGTAATATATGGTGATTAACATAACAATAAAAAAAAATTTAAAAAAAAAATGTACGGCTTAAAAGAAGACCAGTGGATTCTCATATCCACTTCTGCATGTGTTTTCTATGTTGTTTTGATTGAAGATATGAAGAAAATTCAGCCTCATACAGATATGTAGTTGGAAAGGGGAGGAATATATTAATAGTCTTTAAAAATCAGTGTAGGGGAAACTGGGTGGCTCAGGTGGTTTAGTGTCCCACTCTTGATTTTGGCTCAGGTCTTGATCTCAGACTCATCAGATTGAGCCCCACGATGGGCTCCATGCTCAGTAGGGAGTCTGCTTGAGATTCTCTCTCCCCCACCCCTGTGCTCCTTTCCCCCCCACCCTGGCTCACACTCTCTAAATACATACATACACACATACATAAAATCTTTTAAAAAATTAAAAAGAAAAGAAAAATCATTGTGGAGGGGTGCCTAGGTGACATAGTTAAGCATCTACCACTTGGTCTTGCCTCAGGTTGTGATCTCAGGTGGTGAGATCCAGCCCCCTGTTGCTCAGTGCTGAGGCTGCTTAAGACTTTCTCGCCCCCTCTTTCTGGCCCTCTGCCCTGTGTTCATTCTCTCTCTCTCTCTCTAAAATAAATATTTAAAAAAATCAGTATGGATATTCTTCTTTGATAAGACACAAACTCAATAAGTGGACGTCTCTTAAGCTTAGTTGCAATGTAGAATCTGAAACCATACCGATGAGTCCTTTTTTCTCTGTTGTCCATCGTGAAATTAAAATTCATTGTCTATCATGAAATATGAATGGCTCTGCTATTCAGGCATCATTTCGTGAGTTCATATATTGGACATTTGAAAAATATTGATTCACTGAGTTAGCCACATCTTCCAAACACAGACACATTTCAATATTGAATATGTGCATGTATAAAATCACATATATTAATATCACCACTGGTCTCATCAGAAAAGTCTTAAAGTATTGGAAGACTGTCAAACACATAGTAGCCAACACAAATTTTCCAAAATTCTAATTTTTGTTTGAAAGCTCTGATTTTATTATTGCTAACAAATATCATTGGTTATTCTCCTTGAAGTAAAATTTTACTCTGTTCATTTTTGAGACCATGTCAGCCATATATATATATATATGGAACTGGCGCATTCATGGGGCCTCCTTAAGGGGGCATTTCTGGGGCCCAAAGTCCTGAGCATAAGACTGCAGTCCCACTTAGGGCCACCTGTCTGGATTTGGGACATTCCTTTAGAAGGGTTCTTTCTGAAGTCTCAGGAGGCTGCCCCAACTCCCAGGGAGGTGAGAACCCTACAGGTGAGAACCCTGCAAGTCCCTTCCCATTAGGGAAGTATCATGTGGAGTTTCTTCTGTGAAGATTCTATGAAGACTCATGGTTTCCAGGAGGCCAGCTGTGGGATATGGAAACAGGTGATGACTGCAATAAGGCCTTGAGCTGGGAGTGGGTGAGGGGCCAGGCATTCATGGTGGGGGTAGTAGATGCATGGGCCACGATAAGTTCTAGTGATGACGGCATTGTGTGCTGCCTCCTGGAATGTACCTTTCTATTTCTCTGCCCCTATCCTACCTGTGCAGGTGAACCCATTGGAAGAAGGTGAGGAAGGATGGGGTATTGGTCAGTGAACCTTATCTACAGCCTTGACAGTCCTGGAGCAGGTCAGTCTTGTTGGGGATGAAAACAATTTTCCTCTGCCCTTCAAGGTTCTTTAGCTGGGTTAAAATTTAAATTGATGTGAGACAGATTAATAGGGGAAAATCAAACAAAGTTTAAGAAATTATATACCTCCTGTATACATGGCAGAGCCCCAGGAAAACTGAGTAACACACTGAAATGGCCAAAGCCATCACCTTGAATACCATTTTCAGCTAAAGATAAAAAATGTTGATGGCAGGGAGACCTGCCAGTTGTGGGAGGTCACCAGAAAAAACATAGCAAATAAGGGCAAAGTTTAAGCAGATTTCAGTCATTGCTTTCTCCATTGACTGCATCTTCTGGAGATTTGACAGTCACCCCCTTTTCCTCGTACTGAAGGAGACACCCTTACACATGGAGATTTCCCTTATTCATGTAAATGCCTCTTATGAAAGGGGACTTCTTGGTTTTCAGAATTTCTCATGGCTCTTGTGTATTTCCTTAAAAAAATAACCAGCTTGGAATAATCAATATGCCAAAGAAGCATATCTTGGGATGGCAAAATTTGTTCCTCTTACAGTCTCCAAGGCCAGAAAGTTCCCAGATGTTGGGTTGGTCAGGCATCTTAAGGGCTGGGGATGAGGAAGCAGCTCAGGGAGCCTTGGGCAATCATGCCATTTCCCAGGGAGGAGGTACCTGGGCTTATTCACAGAGCGAGGCCTTGCTTTCAGCTTGAGTCTGGTCTCCCTCAGTTCCTCTGAGTGCCCTGGTTGGAACCTGTGGGAGCCTCAGAACTCTGCCCCCTCTCCAACTTCTGTTAGGGATCCAGGTATTCCTCTTCTCTCTGGAAAGCCAGAGCCCAAGATCTCCCTTCCAAGGGAGGGAGTGCCCTGGGGTGAGAGAGAGCCTGAAGGCCTGGGAAGTGGCAGCTGGAGAAGGAGGGCAGGGCCAGAGGCCAAGTCTGAAGGGAGGAACTGCCAGCCAGTGATGGGAGAGCCACCTGCACCCTGATCTGTGGGACTGGGACAGCATGGGACCCACAGATATTTCTGAGTGTGGGTGTGAGTGTGTTTCTTGTTGAGAAGCTCTCTCCCTTGGAAGGGACTGGATGTACCACATGGAGCATTAAGATCATATCTCTTCTGCCCTAGAACTGGGGACCCCCACCCACTGACTCTTGTACCCTCTCTCACCCCACCACATCCCCGACTGGGAAGGAATTCTCTGCACTAGACCCATCCATGTGTGTTTGGATTTCTTAGTTCTATTATTCCTGGATCTTATAGTTCTCTTCTATAAGAATGGATGTTACAATCCTACATGGCAAGGTTAGCATAAGGATTAAATAAGATTGCATGAGCGAATTCTATGCTACCCTTGTACATAGTAGTCACTCAGTGAAATCTAGTTGCACAGGGAAACAGAATGAGGGTGTTTACCCATCCAAGGAACACCTGACATGTACTGGGGACCTTGAGAGTCCTGGCTAGCTGCTGGCCCTCAGGAGGCCCATAGTTTGGCAGGGAGGCAGACAGGGGTGTCATGCAGTGGGGTGGGTGCCTTGTTTGAGGAGTGAAGCATGGTCTGGTTAACTGTCAGTGTCTCTCCTAGGGTTGAATTCCACACATTCCTGTCAATGTTTTAGGACCACATGAGGTTGCTGCTGTGGCTTTGTGTCTTGGCTCTTGGTCTTAGGGCCTGGGGTGAGTTTTCCTTCACTGGATCAGAGGGTAACTAAGAAGGATCATCTACTTTTACAGCAGAGTTCTTTAAATGTTGCCTCTCCCTTCAGGTGAAAGAATAGCTTTGCATTTGGAACACAGAACTTGAAGTCTGTAAACCTGGTTTCAAATCCTTGGCCTCCCTCCAGCAATGATTTTAAGCAAATTATTCAGCCCTTTAAGTCTTAATTTTCCCACTTGATAATTGAGATAAATTTATGATTTCCCAAATTTTTGAGGATTAAATGAGATAATGCACATGAAGGATTTTGCACCTGAGCAATGGAAGCAATGATTCTCTTCATGTGGCTGGGGTTTATGCTTCTCAGTAAGAGAAAGTTCCTTGGGGCTAGGGATGTCAGTCACACACACAGGAGCTTGGGCACAGTACATGCCCCCAAGTCAGGCCTGGAAGAGCTGACTTGATTTGTGCAAATAATTCTAATCCTTTTTTTGCATTATCCTCTCATTGTTTCTATTTGGTAAAATCCATACAAAAGAGAACCTTGTGCTTTTGAGATGCTTAGATACACTTCTAACTTGTTGTTGTTTTCCCAATAGTGTATATAGATACAGCTCATGAGAAACGGATATATTTCTGACTCCCTGCTCTTGGCTATTTAACTGTGTTCTGGGGATTCCCTGGAGTTGGTGTTGAAGGAAAGCATGCATGTGTTGCAAATGGAGGTGGTCATCTAGTCAGCCTAGAGGGGTCTCCTGAAGGGACCTCAGTGATCTGGCCTGAGTCTGTCACTGAGATTGTTAGTACTGGGGTTCTCTGAGGACCAATGTAAAATGGACTGTTCTTCTGCAGGTGATTTCTCCTGAGATGAAACACAAGCCAAAGATGTATCAGAGGGCTTTCAGGACCTGTTTGGCAACATCTCTCATCTCACTGAGAAAGGAAAACTCAGTCTCAATGGTGAGGAGCCTTAAAGACAGCTGGGTATGTTCTGTGACCAGAGTGCTTCTGAGATCTGCACTGCCCCTTGTAGCTGGCATGGGGCAGATGGGGCAGTGGAACATCAGCAAAACACCTGCAGGGATGCCACAGGCCTTGGGGGTCTGGGGTGGTACCAGGAGAGGACAGAAAACAGGACAGGGAGATTCAGCCTCTGCACTTAGGGCCCCCTAGCCTGAAGATGGAGACTCACACCTTGCCCTGAGGGAGTTGTCTGACTGAATGGGAGAGCTAGGCCCTATTTGGAGAGAGCCCCTAGGCTGTGGAAGAGATGTAATCCCCTCAAAAAGCACTCAGGGCAGGACAAAGGACACAGTCAGAGTCACAGAGCAAATTGTCAGTGAGCATAGTGTGCCCTGAAGGCATTAGTGCTGCAGTGAAACCCAGAGGGGCCACTCAGGCTTTCCCAGGGGAAGCAGTGGGAAGGAGCTGCTTCCTAAAGCAGGGGTCCAGGAGTAGAGCAGGGCAGGAGCTTCAGGGTGGAGTCTGTCCCAGTGGGGATGCCCTGGATAGGTGAGCAGAGCATCCAAGCTTCTCTGGGCAGGTGCATACTTTGCAGTGGGGCAGTGGAGGAGAAATAGATGTGGAGGTGAGAAGGAGAGGGTGTGTGTGCCTGCTGAAGCCCTCCTCCCAGGGTTTTTCCACCCCTGTGGGGCAGACTCAGCCTAGAATGGCACCCATGGCCCAGGGGGGTAGTGAGGCAGTGATGGGGCAGGATGCACTGAGTGATGTCCTTGTGGTTACCCAACAGATGTCTTCACAATTGTTTCTCACAAGGAGTGGGGGGGGGGAGAAGCTGTTGCCTGCAGAACCCCACTGACCATGCCCGTGGATTTCCTTGTCACGCACCATGTCCCTGGACTGGAGTGTCACAACCAGACTATGTGCAGTCAGAGGCTTTGGGAATTGCGGGCCCATCACATGCACAACAACAGCTGGTGTGACATGGCCTACAAGTAAGGGCTATGTGGGGGTATATGGTCAATGCTGCTCCTTAGGGTTCTTCTCCCACCTTTACTCATGTCTTCTTTCCTCATTTCCCGGGTTGAGGATATATCAGGTTTATAGTGAATAAAATATGAAAAACCCTATAAAATTCCAAATCCTTTTGAATTTTCTATGAGATCTCCTAAAAGGATGCAAGGAAGGTTAAGTAATAACTATACTTCCTATCCCCCTCCAAAACTTTTTCACGTAGCACACTGATAGTTATGAATGACTACCAAGTGCATGGGTGCATTTGTTCTACCAAAAACATGTGAGGTTGGTCAGGCATACATTACTATTGCCATGCTCCAGGTGAGGGGACCAAGGCCAGGACGTTGTCTGGGTTTCTCAGAGTCACACAGCTACAAGGTTGTAGAGCCCAGACTGACTCAAAACTGTCTCTTTGCCCACCACATGTCCCACCTCACCATATGCAGGGGGCTCTTACTTGGCAAGGCATCTGTTACTCTAGTGGTCACTGTAGTGGACCCTCTTAGTGCCTAGGACCACATGTCCTCAGCCCACCTCTGACCTTACCTAGTTGTGAGCAGTTCCTATGCATGGTGATGGCTTTCCACTTTGAGTACCCTCCACATCTCTCAGTTTTTCTGCTTTAGACTTTTACCACCCCTGATGGTGAAGGGGAGTTAATGTCCCCTTGCAGGGCAAGAGTTGTAAATAACTTCCTCAGCCCCCAGTCCTTCTCAGGGACAATCATTAGGTGCATGTACTCAGTTCCTTGTAAGTTCACCTATCTGGTGGCAGACAATGGGAGGAACAGTTCTGAGCTCCAGCTAGCCATTGTGAAGCCAGCCCAATTGTTCACACTTTGTTGGATTTCTTGCTTCTGATTTACTCTCCTTGCTCCCTCATACTGGCTTTTGGGATCCCTTTTCAAATAAACTGCCTGTATCCATGTCCTTATCTGAGGAGCTACTTCCTGAGAAGTCTATATAAGACAGGAACCTGGCAAGGAGAAATCATATGAACAGTCTATGTGGAGATGACACAGGTAGCATGCATTTAGGAGGAAGGAGGAGAGCCATGTTTGAGGCAATATGGAGGCTGAGAAGAATCTCAGTGTAATTGGGTCTGTGTTAGCTACTGTGGTGGCACCAGGACCTCTCCTCCTCCTGAGTGTATAGGATAATTTACATAAAGCCTGGGCATCTGAACAAAGGAAGGAGGTAGGGAATGTGGGGGTGGGTTCTGAATTCTAAGGGAATATAATTGACTTTGTCTTTCCACTGTCTGGGACAAGTCCATGCAAATTCTCTGTAGTGAGCATAGCTTGAACCCTTCTCCCTTTGGGGACTGATAAGTGGTTCCTCTTGTGGGGATGTGCCACAGTGCCAGACACTCAGCCTATATCTCCCTGCTCCACAGCTTCCTGGTTGGGGACGATGGCAGGGTGTATGAAGGTGTTGGCTGGAATGTCCAAGGCATGCACACCCAGGGCTACAACATCTCCCTGGGCTTTGCTTTCTTTGGCACCAAGGAAGGTAATGGTCATCCCAGCTGCCCTTCTCCAAAGAGTTACCTACTTCTTTGTTTCCACACTGCCTCCTTGACCTTCTCCTACTTCCCTGATGATCTACTCTCCTGGAGTTCCCCTCTCTCGGCTTACATGAATGGTATTTGTTCTTCTCTCCCTCCTCTGGCTTCCTTCTCAGTCTCCGAGCTGTCTCCTCTCTCTGGATATCTTGCAGTGGAGGTGCTGTACAGCCTTCTCTCCACAGCCTTGCTACCTTCTCATTGTCATCATGGAGGGATGTGGGCTTCTGCTGTCTTCTGTCAGTGACTGTCACATCTTCCTCTCTGGCTCTAAACCTTCTCCAGCACCAGACCCTGCTTCCCATTTCCTACCAGGCACCTCCTCCTTCCATCTCCCTTACCTCAAGATTTTCTGTACAATTTTTAAAACCACTCTGAGGCCTCTAATCCCTGCGTCCCTTCCACTTTCTTCTAGTCTTACTGCTGCCCATCCCCCCCAGCTCTCCCAGCATCCTAGCATACCTGCTCCAGGACCATTCCACTGACTTTGCATGTCTAGTTTCTTATTGTCCCCTCCCAATACTCTGTGAGAAAATCCAGACAAGTTTCCTGATCGCTGTTACACAAAGTACAGCCTGAATTCCAGAGAGGAAGTGACCCAAGAAGAATCAAAAGGCAAGCTCACACTTTCCATTTTCAATTCCAGGATGGTTTCCACACACCAGAGGACTCTGTATTCAGCTTGGTTTGTTTTTGTGACCACTCATTGTTACCTGGGTGTCACTCTGTTAGCTGTAGGGTCTTGAGCATGTTGCTTCTTGAAGCCTCAAGTTTCTTTCTGAGAATAATGAGGCTAATAATAGCATCTATGTCAGAGGTTTTTGGTGAGGATTAAGGAAGTTAATGCAGGGAAAGAAGCTGTCACATGCCTGGAAGGGCCCTTGCCGATGGGAAACCCTGACCCAGCTAGCTGGGCATTCCTGAGCATGGGGCTGTGTTCCAGCTCTTCCATGGAGAAAGAGCAATGAATGAAGTTTTGGCAGGTCATTGGGAAAGGTCTTCATCCTGGGCCAGGTGGATCCTTGACTTTCAGGCTTTCTAACCTGGGGGATGAGCCAGTTTCCCTCTAACAGCTGTGTAAGGGCTGGCAGGGCATCTAGTCCTTCCCTCACAGCCCCCTGAAACTCAGGTCAGACCCAGGTTGCCATAGATGGCTCTCTTTCAGGCCACAGTCACAGCCCTGCTGCCCTGTCAGCCATGGAGGGCCTGATCTCCTATGCTGTCCAGAAGGGCCACCTGTCACCCAAGTATGTTCAGCCACTTCTCGTGAAAGGTGAGAACTGCCTACTCCCTCTTCAGAAGGCAAGTCCCAAGAAAGGTAAGACCTTCAACCCTACTGGGCCTCCCTCTAGACCCACCCACCCAGCCTACCCCCTACTAATTTCCAAACACCATTGGGAGTGACTTTTCAGTCAGGGTCTCATTGGATCCTTTCTGATAGGCAACCGGTCACCCAGCTCTCTGAACCTTTGGGCTGGCACACCTTGAGAGGAACCCTCCAGGTCACCTCTTTATCTCTCAGATTCCTAGAATAATAGAGCCATGGCATTAGCATAGTGTAATATATGTGCATCCATTTCTTCAATCAGTCAACAATTATTTACTGAGAACCTGCTAGTCACTGAGGATATATCATGGAACAAAACACACAAGCAGTGCCCTATGAAGTTTCAACCTAGAGGGTAGAAAAAAAATAAACAAATAAGTAAATAAAATATTTGGTATGTTATAAGGTGAAAAGTGCTGTGGAGGGAAAAAAAACATGGAGAGGAATAGGCATCTAACACATAGAAGCACAAAAGCACAAATGCACATCTTTCTGAATACAAGAACCACAACAGCACTGATAGACCAAAGTGCTTACATCGCCATCTATACAGACATCAGAGGAAGTTGTTACAGTACTTTGGGTAATAAGCACTAGGTAAAAGGTAGATTTGGGGTTTAAAAGTAGCATCAAAACCAGTATAGTTAAGGGTCACCTGGATGATTCAGTTTATAGAGCATGTAAATCTTGATCATGGGGTCATAAGTTTGAGTCCTACACTGGGGCCGTGGAGTTTACTTAAAAAAAAAAAAAGACAATATAGTTAACAACCACTTTCAACCTTTTCCTGGACTTAATAAAGTTTTAAAGATAATTGTATCTATTATATGAAAGCTCTGAGTAAATCTGGTCTCTGCCTTTGGATTAGTGCTATCAACTAATATTAATGATTGCTTATATTGACAGAGAGTTTTAGGGATTACAGATGAGTTTCAAAGACATGCTTTCAGTTGATAATTCAGCTGATTTGTCCAAAGGGCCCTGTCATGCAGGCACACACACATACACACAAGACAATCATGCAGATAGATAAGATATCCTTTGCCCTTGGGGATGAATATCCATATCTTCTTAGGATCAATATACCCACTGTCCTTTGGGTTCTGTTTTTGGGTTAGATCCCATGGCTCTATGATTCTTGCTTCTTGCGTATAATCCCATCAGGCAGACATACTCCACTCCCAGGTGGGCTCTCCTGAGTTCCACAGTCAGAGTCAGGTCAGGATGCTCAGAGGCCATGGGGATGTTAAGTAGTGAGGTAGTCGACATGGGTGGGCACAATAAGTCCACACATCCGGTTTTTTTTGCCCCCCTCCTCAGCTTTCTCCAACATTATCCTACGGTCTGCATGGGAGGCCAGGGAGACCCATTGCGCCAAGATGAACCTCCCGGCTAAGTACGTCGTCATCATCCACACTGCTGGGAAAACCTGCATCATGTCTGATGAATGCTACTTGCTGGTCCAAGATATCCAGTCCTTCTTCATAGACAGGTTGAACTCATGTGACATTGGGTATAAGTAAGTGGACCTGAGGACATGTGGGCTTCTTTTACCTGAGGGCAGACTATGAATCTTCGAATGGGAGAGAAGGGAAAATAATGTTTACTGAGTGCCCACCATATGAGAGGTGTGCTATGTTTAACCACATTGATTTTTCATGCAACTCTGGGTGAGCCTTACTTAGGATATAGCTAAAAGGGTGGTCAATCTCCTTGAGCATGTACTCAAAACGTGTCCTTTTTAAATATCTTATATTGACATGATGGAGACCAAGACTGCTGGAAAGATACTAGAGGAAGTTGTATACATGCAAGATTGTGAAGCCTGTAGAGAATATCTTTCCTGTCTGAAGGCAAGCGGAAACACCAGATAATATCCTCTGATTGCTCTAATGCCAATATCTATAATTTTTTAATAATGAGCACACTGACCTAATGAAAGAATAAAAACTTCTTGTAGGATGCTCTCCAAGCCCACAGATAAGATGTATGGGGTTAGACACCATCTCAGTCCATCAGAAACAATTACACTGAATGTTAAGTCTCAGAATGGGCCACCACTAATCCAGACAGGACACATTAATCAAGGAGCCCTTCCTCTAGGGGCATGATGGCTTAGCTAGTGGAGTTGGATTTTAGACCCTCCTTGCCTCCTGGCCAGGCACTCTGTGCAGCGTGCAAGCAGCATAGCTCTGTGCAATGGCCCTGCCTTGGCTGGATTTACCAATTACCATTGGATTACCAAATCTAATTGGCTTGGATTTACCAATTGTGATTACCATGGAATCACAATTACCATGTGATTCTGGGCTGATAGCCTGTCTTATCTCCATCCTGTTTTAGTTGCAACACTTTTGAGATAGGAGAAAACTTCCTTCAATACCTTTCAACTGTTAAGACTTGCCATGTGCTCTGCTAGATCCTGCTATGCAGGATTATTCACAGGGTTGTTCTCTTTGATTAGAATGTATACCTGAAAATTGACTATATGTTTTGAACCTAAACTGGAAAATGATGGGTGCTGAGAGAGGACATTTTCCTTTTTCCATTCAGGCTTCAGAGGTCAGTTTCTTGTCCCTTGGCTTTTGACCTTTTATTGTGTCTTTTTTGCTATAACTTTCATTACCCTGCTCACTGTGAAATGATCTGTAGTCAGGAGTAAACACCCACTTGCTATAAATTAGTTCACTGAGAACACAATTGAGTGCCTACTCTGTGGCATGAGGTTATGCTCTGGGGATGCTATCAGATGTAGCACAGATATGGTTCTTGCTTTGATGGAGCTAATACTCTGCTGAATGAGAAAGATAATTAAAGGAATAAATCCTAATAGAATACATTAAGTGTTATGATAGAGGGTGCAAAGATGTAAGCAGGATACATTTTTAACTTGTTAGCTTGCTGGGGGATTGAGTGTGAAGGAAGTACACTTGAGAGGTGACATATCAGCTGACCTAAGAAATGAGTGAGCTTGTCAGAGGAGGGGGAAGACTGTTTCAAACACAGAAAAAGGACCTCTGTGGAAAATCCTGGATGCCACCTTGAGAATGGTGTCTTTGAGTAACTGAGGGAAGTTTATCATAATAAAAATAGATGACAAAGAGAGGGATGGTGAAAGGTAAGAAGGCAAACAGGGGCCATCTCATGAAGGATCTTGTCACTTAAGCTGGGGAGTTTGGACTGTGTTGCCAAGGGACTAAAAGCAGGGTTTGATATAAGATTTGTATCAGAAAGACATGAAGAACTACATATTTAAGGAAAGGACACAGGGAGACAAGGTGCAAAGGAGGGGGCAGTCACAAAAGACACCTGGGAGAGTAGAGTGCGATGGAAGTGAAGGGGGGAGGATATTTGTGGATGCAGAGGGATCAGGCAAGGCAGGACTGGAGAAGTGTACTTTGACCTTAGTGGTAAGGCAGCCACAGCTCACCTCCAGGGAAACAGTGTCATTAGTGAGGTATGGGGAAGGCCAGGTTGCAGGGATGGCTGTTGTTGCTTTTCTCTTCCTAGACTATGAACTTCTTGGGGCAGCAGCAGTGTGCCAGAGCTGGATGGGCTCATCAGAGCAGACTGTTGGAGAGCCAGGGCCTTTGTTAAATCACCAGGGGCTGAAAATCAGCCATGGTAGGAGTTTTACACCACAGAAATCAGTAAAGGCTATAAATAGCACTTCCTTCCCTTCCCCCTCTTTGATGAGCGCACCCCTGGCAAAGACTGTCTTTTTTGTAACTCTGCTTAGAATTTAATAGCTAATCAGTGTCTGCCGAGTAAAGGCATGAGTGATTGAATGAATGAGCAAATGAATAAATGAAACAATCCCAGGTTGTCTGTCTGTCATGCTGATCTCCATCTCCCCTCATGGTCCTCTAGCTTCCTCGTGGGGCAGGATGGTGTCATTTATGAAGGAGTGGGGTGGAATGTCCAAGGCTCCCGTGCTCCTGGCTACAATGACATTGCCCTGAGCATTGCCTTTATGGGCACCTTCTTGGGTAAGTGGATGCTTTGGGCAGTAGCAGTCATTGTATGGTGTTTGAGGGAGAGTGTCCTAATTGGAAGACAACAGCATCAAACTCAGGGATCACTTCAGTGCCTGCATATGCTGGATTTACCCAGCTTCAGATTTGTCATTTGACTAAGCTGAGTGTGACCAGAGTGACCCCCTCCCAGACAGAATGCCCACTCTGAATCAATCTTCTTCACACCCAACCAAATGTCTCTCTCTTCTGACATCCAAAACACATATAAGACAAGGAGAAAAGATCTTTGTACATATATTTTGCTAAGTTTTTACCATGGCAACAATGTGGGGACCCTTACCTTATTTGCCACAGCCCTGGATTAGCCCTTGTCTCTGCATCCAGAGTGTACACTGAGGATTGTCATTGCTCAGAGCTCTTGACTAGAGTTTGTTTAGACTCTGGGAACTTTTGCTGCACCTCTGGGAAGAGCCATGTCACTGGGGCTGGTTCAGTCTGATACTAAATTGGATATTGGGTGGGGTAAGGGGATACCTAGGAAGGTGTCTGGGGATGGGCTGGGCGTGTGAAGGTACAGGAAGCACAGCTTGTGGCCAAAGCAAGGTTTCTCAGCCTCAACACTATTGACATCCTGGCTCAGGTAACTCTTTGTAGAGGAGCTGACCTGTGCATTGTATGACCCTTAGCTGCAACCTTGGCTTCTGCCACTGGATGCCTGTAACACATTTTGCCTAGCTTGAGAACCAAAAATGTCTCTAGACAGTGTTAAATGTCCCCATGGGAGGCTAAATTCCCTCAGTTGAGAACTACCATGTTAAATATTTGCAATGGACAAAGTCTCCATGCATCCCCCAAACAGTTGTATGTCTTATCCCAGGCTCTGCTCTTTTCATTCAAGAAGAACTTTGGTGCTGAGGAATCTGAGTCCTGACTTGATTTTCTGTCTATAGGGTGTCTGGCAGTATCAGAATATATTAGCATGGTGGTAGGGGTGGGTTAGGGGGGATTCAGGAGTGGGTCCTGACCTGGGCAGGGTGCCCTGGAAACCTGTAACAGAGAGATAACTGTTTTGCAGGTACCCCACCCAATGCTGCAGCCTTGGAAGCAGCCCAGAACCTGCAGTGTGCAGTGGACAAGGGATATTTAATTCCCAACTACCTGCTGGTGGGGCACAGTGATATTGTCAACACCCTGTCTCCTGGACAAGCTTTGTACAACATCATTAAGGCTTGGCCTCATTTCAAACACTGAGGGAGCCCCTGCTCCTTCTGAGACTGTTCCCTGTGCCTGCCTGGCTGCTAGGCTTCCCCTGTCCTCACCCTCCACCCTGACTCAACACTTGGTGTCCCCTCCCAGTCAGCCCCATCTTGTCCCTCCTTTCTCAGGTTAGTGTGATCCTCTACTGCTAGCACCCCACCATCCTCCAAGTAGCTCTGAGACCCCAGAGCTGGGCATTCCCAGCCCTCTGAGTAGGTCCCACCTTCCTCTCTCCTCATCTTCCCCTCCCCTGGGCACCCAGCTCCTAAGCCAGGTGGGAAGTTGGGCTGATGCTTGTTTGACTTCGCTTTCCCTTTCTGGCTGCCCCTCTGCCCCATGTACCTTAGCCCTGCCATCTGCCCGGCAACCCCCAAGATTCACACAGGACCCAGGTTCAAGGCCTGAAGCCCCTCCCTGCTCACACACTGACTTGTCCACATGTGGATATGGCCCTTATTTCAGAGCTCTATCACTTATAGGTGTGCTTCTCCTCTCCACTGGATTGTGAGGGTTTCCAGTTTTATTTGTCCCCATGTCCTCAGTTCCTCAGCAGTGTCTGGAGTCTAGTAGTCACTACAGAAATTTGTTGGATGAATAAACGAATGAGTGGATCGAGTCCCTGCTCCCCTTTTCAGTCTGCTCCACCACCCCTTCTCTGGGGATGCCTTCTGGGGCAGTCCTCCCTCCTGCCAGCTTTCTCTCTGTTCCTGCCCTTCCAAGTCTGAGCCTCAGAGCCAGCTCTGGTGGCTTATGTGTAATGGTTGCTGTGCCTCTAGGGTCCTATCTCCTGTCCTCCCTGAGCTCCCTGAGGACAGAGACTGCCTTCCTCCAGGCCCATCTGGGCTGTGTACACACAAGTCTCCTGTGCCTGTAGTCTGCCTTTGCCTAGCTGTGTCCACTGGGTGTGGGGTTCAATGGGGACCCAGAGCCTGGGCACTCTGCAACCCTCCAGGTCTGGGCTCCTCCTGCCCAGAGAGAAGCCAGACACTGAAGTATTCCATACGGGGTAGGCAGTATTCTGCTGTTCACTGGAAGCACATGGGTTGGCTCTTCTTTCTCCTGATCTGGAAACAACAGGAAAAAGGAGGGGAGGGATAAAAAGAAGTAGCCAGAAACATGGACTTTTTTCCCCTCTACACCTTTGGTATTCATACAGTGTCTTTGCCCTTAGAGTGTTTTACATATCTTCAACTAGGCAGGTTTTAACAGCCTCTCAGTTTTACAGCCCTTTTGCTTTTCAAAGACTGTCCCTGTGATCTTACTGGATTTGCTGTCCTTTTGTTATTTGCCCTCAGGCCACCTGGCATGTAAACAGAGGAAGGAATGGTTTATCTGGAGGGTCAAGTATGCTAGAGGACCCAGTGCCCCTTCCTGATTTACCGAGCCGGCAAGAGGTGGCTCCTGGAGAACCCCCTGAGCTCTCTCCACCAGGGGCTCCTTTCTTGGGGAGAGGGGGCTGGATACAGACTTCCCAGAAGAACCTTATGTTTCTCCGTCTCTTAAAACATCAAAGATGAGTTTCCCAGCCCTTCACACAGGGAGTAGCCGACAAGTTGGATGTGAGATGTTGAGAAATAGTATCACGATAAAAACTGTGTCCTTCAAATTTCTTGACCTTTCTTATAATCCTACCTTTGATTGAGGAAGGTTCTCTTCCCTTTGATTCAAACCCCAGGCCTCAGGGTCTTGTTGACCTCCCTTAACCCCTGTCCCAGGCAGGCTGTGGACAGGGCTGTAGACTCCCCCACTTCCACCAGCACTCATCAAGGCCTCCTCAAATCAACAACACTGCATGGTCTGGACTATTGTCTTCTCCAAATTTTTAACTTGTATTGGTCTCACATATACAATCTAAGTAAAAGCAGAGCACTCAGCTGGCAAATGCTTTTTTTCATGGCAAATTCTGAGGCAGCCCATTCTGTGCAGTTGCCTTTTCTGAGTCCTCAGTATAGAGAAATTCTTCCCAACTCCCCTTAATCATATAAAGTGGGGTTCATACTACCCCTCACCACCTCAAGAAGATTGTTGTGAGGATTAAGTGAATGAAATGTGGTAAGGTCTTAGACCTTATGGTTGGCATGTGATAATGATTCTATTAAAGTTCGTGGAGGTATGGCTATTCATGTCGCTATTGCTGTGGTTTTGCTATCATAGAGGTCAAGAGCAGGCTGCCCAAAATGTGCCACTTTGGCATACCAATGCTTTTAGGTAAAAGTTACTTAAAAGACAGCCTGTGCTAGAAGGACACTCAGACCCTCCTCAATCCCCCCGAAACCAGGAAATAAATCTCCTCCTGTGAAAGGTACCTTTCCTGTAACAGAAGGTAAAGAGACATACTTATCACCAGAGGTGGGGAATTTAGAACAGAGAAGTCTGTATAAACAACTCTTGTTACTTTTTACTAATTTACTACTCTAAGCTCCCAAAGTTAAGTTTTATTTGTTCTGTCAATGCCTGACAAATTTATTGTCTCTTTGTCTAAAAAGTATAAAAACTGCCTGCTTTGGTCATTTCTTTATTTCTCAATTTCATGCCTAGGCCTCCATGTGCACTTAATAAAACTTTCAGGTTTTTTTCTCCTGTTGATCTATCTCACATAAATTTAATTCCCAGTCCAGCTGGAAGACCTCAAGGTTAGAGAAGAACTTTCTCTTTCCTTCAATTATCTATTAGTCCTATTTGCAGCAAGAAGGATGTGCCTTTGCAGGCACCAGCCCTGGCAGCCCCAGGAGTTTGGCACTCCCTGCGAGACCAGGCTGGCCTGAAACTTGTGGCACACAGGACTTGGCAGGTCTGAAGGAGCCCATGGTAAAGGAGGGACACACCTCCTTCATGGCCCTTGGACTGCCAGAATGAGAGGGATTCTAGAGCTCATCTTGTCAGTTGTTTTCCACAACTATTAGCTGGGAGAAAAAAAAAAAAAAAAGACACCCAATGAAGTTTTCTTTGGTTCCAGAATAAAATACTTACCTGGCTAAAACCCTACATTTTATAGAAAATTGAACCCAAAGAGGTCAATGACCATTCAAGTTCACTCAGTGAGTTAAAGAAAGGAAGGGACACTCAGATTCTGAGCATGGCACCATTCCTCTGGTCAAAATCATTTTGTGGTCCCTCCTTTTGGACAGAGTAAAGTAAACAACTCAGCATGGCAATTAGGGTTTTCCACAATCTCACTCCAAGTTACCTTTTCTCACAGAATGAACCCAGGTGGGCAAGGTATGGGCTCACCTCCTGGGCTTGTTCATCTTGGATGCTTTGCCCACACTGTCCCTGCCCCACTCCTGACCACTGCGATTATACCAGGTTTTAAGACACTTATCCAGGCTAGCTCTTCCAAAAGGCTTCTTGTTTCTCCAGACTAGAAATGACATCTTCCCCCCCCAGGTGCCCGTGAATGTCACCTGAGCCTCTTGGTGCCTCCTCACTGCCTCCCCCCCCACTTCTCCCTCCTGACCTGGACTCCCCAGGCTGCACCACACCTGCCAAGTCTCAGGATCTCCAGGGGCACATGGGGGCCTTTGTGTCTGTGCAATGGAAGGGCAGGAGCCATGCCTCGGCAGGGCTGGGTGAGCACAGGCAGCATTCCCAGCCTGGGAGGGCAGCTGCTCTTCCCTTAGCTGGTCTTGAGATATTTGTCAGAGTGGAAAATCCACTGCCAGAAACTGCCCACTGTTGCAGCATGTCGGATTTTTCACAGGTTAATTCCATCTTCATTCCAGGCCAACCATTGCTCCCACCTTCTGGTGCACCCCCCCACCCCCATCAGTGAGATTTGGGGCAAAACATGCTCCACCACCAAAGTTTCCCCACCATCCTTGAATGCTTCTGTGACCTTCTCACTATGAAGGCCACAGCCAGGGGTGTGGTGGGGAGGGGCAGGAACTGTGTCCCAATAAATATTAGTTAAAATGTTAGAAAACAGTGATCAAGAAGGTGCTTTGTTCTAAATGCTGCCCAGAGTTAGAGATAACTCGCCATGAGGCTGGGGTAGAAGGGAGTACCATAAATCAAAGAATGAAGATACAGTCCCTGAAGACTAAATGAAAAAAGAAAACATTCCCTCGGCATCTGGCATTTTCCATTTGGAATTTCCAAATTTATGGACAACTCTCTCTTGTCTGTACTAAATAATCATAGCAAGGCAAGGGAAAGAGTGAGAGAAATCTTGCAAAACTGTGTCCCAACCCCACCTGCCCAGCCACTTCCTATACTCTGTCCCTTTGGCTTCTTTCTTTCCCACTTGAGTTGTCTCTCTCTCTCTCTCTCTCTCTTCTTTAGTAACTTTTTGTCTCTGTCTCCCTCTCACCTCTGCTTATCTCTCTCTTTTTCTTTCTTTCTCTCACACTGCCTCCCTCTCTGCCCCTTGATGCTTATTTTCTGTTTCTGCCCTTCTGCTTCTGTGTCTGCCCTGATTTTGCCCTTCTTCTTTTGCACTCCCCAGCATCTAGAATATGGCAGCATGGAAGAAACAGCAGGAAAGGGGCCTGTGCCTTAGCACTGTCGATCCCCACCAATGTGCCCCACACTGCTCCAGGGCTGCCATGGTGCCAGGGAGTGGAAGGAAGAGCAGGAGGCCAAGGGTGGGGTGGCTCTGGGTAAGGCACACATTTTCCAGAATTTAATGCCACACAGAAGCGGAAGTAGGACAGGTATGTTTCTGGCCCAGCAGGTTTTGCCTGGCAGGGCTGGCTGAGGACAAGGACTTAATTAGAAATGCTGACTGGGAGAGAGGAAGGTGTTATTAGCTGGGAAGAGTGGTAGGAGGGGTGGGAGGTCCTGGAAGGTGTGGCATCCTGGGAGGTGTGGCAGGGACTTGGGGGACTTTCTGCAGAGGCTGGAGTAAAATGTGACTCCCCATGGTAGGGAGCCAGGGGTTCCCTCTCTGGGTGGCCAGGAGCCTTTTGGTACCCAAGAATAATGCAGCTGTCTGCATGGATGGGGAGATGGGGAATTTCTTAACTCATTCTCTAGCTCGGCTCATATGTTCCTTC